ACGATTGAAGAGGACCCATAGTGACTACCGACTGTGCTTCAGCTCTTATAAGACACTAACATAGTGTAGTGGCAGGCAAAATGTCCATCTTACAATGAGAACACACTTGGTTTCAGGCACTCTTCTCTCGTCTCCAGGGAATGTGTTAAAATGGCATAAATGAAACCATTATGCCGAGGCATTCATCTCTATGCTCTCCCACGGTCACTGGCTTGTTCAATGGGCTATAAGGTTGTTAGCGCAACTTCATTCACATGCACGTGTATGAGCGTTCTCATTTTTTTTATCAACTGAGGAACACGTCGCCCTTGGCGTGGCCGGAGAAGGCTGATGCCACAGGAAGAACATTTACGGCCGGCCATACAACCCCTCCCATACCCACATTGCCCGAGAAGGAGTGCTATTCTTTCCTAACAAGCGATGCTACTAGTGAAGCAAGTGGCGCCATTTTCTCTCCACTGACGGAATTCTCTCTAATTCATTTAATTATTGCTCGTTATTCTCTTCCGTTCACCAATAGCGAGCAGATATATTCAGTGGGGCCACCATTTCTGTGCGCCTTGGAGGGCGCGGAATAACTATAACGACTTCTATTGGCGGCCTTCTACTAGAAGGGGCGTGCACTTGTTCTGTAGGTACTTTACACACCGTCCCTCATAGTTTGGTAGCCGTATAGATGTTTGCTGGCTTGGATGATATCTTCTGTGCGACTTTACGATCGGATACCATCAGAGAAGGACCCATGGTGCTGGTGCTCTTACTATGCCCCAGCCATTCACTACTGGACATAGAAACCGCTCTTCTCTGACAATTCACGATTGGCAACGGAATCAAGTAAGTTTTACTTTTGATACTCATGAATGCTAAACAATTTGCGAAGTCCACACTAATAAAGGGATTGAAAACTAACACGTTGACGGTGAGTTGAAGCGGTTCGCAACGAGCGGGGACTGCCACGCGTATGCTTTGACTCTACTTTGAAAGCGTAATTGATACAAATTACACGACCGCGTCCCCTAGTCCCATGGTGTGATCGCATGCTATTACCAGAACCCTCGCGGCCCATTTGGAGGCCAGGAATGCATTTCCCAGGAGCGGAGGGTTCCGTGTCTTGCCCAGCTTTTCAGCAGCTCAAGCAGCGATTTTCTAGATGCTCCAACCCTTTGCAAAGCCTTTTGGTCCGTGAAAAAAAAACACTTGGACAGAAATTCCTGTCAAGTTTACGGTGATAATGCTATATATCATGAGCTAGACTAGCACATGCCTTGTATATATTATCTGCATACATGCCCACTGTATCCGTGGCTCAAGCTATGTCACTACTCAGAAGTACACCTTTATCTAGACGCTTTAGGGATCCCCTGGCAACGTCATTGCGGAAAGGGATTTGATGCTTGTTAGTGCGCCCTAAAGTAACCGTAACCCGCTTCCAAACTGTCCACAATGTGCCCACTGCGAAGTATCCATAGGCAGATGAAGGGACAGAACGCATCAACCGCAGTTCTCTGCTGATGTGCAACGCTGTCCTCCCAAGAGTGCAGCTGCTTGGCTTGACTTTCTTCCTTATGCTGATTGAGTTTATAATAAAACAGCTCACTCGCCGACTCATTTCTCCCACATCCTTGGTCTATAGTGAGAAGCCCCAGTCCTCTACAATTCGCTCCTGGATCTGGTGGTCCAGGGACAACAGACCCTTTAAAACCTGAGGGATTCAGGGAGTGGCTGGCTAGTGCACGTGAACGCATGCGCAACGTACGGAATTATGCAAAGCAGCCATGGGCCGTGTGTTGTGAGCCTAGAGATACGGTCATCGTGGATCGCAGGGTTTACAAGGTGCATCGGAATTTGAGGAGACCCATCAGTTTCTCCTACGTGTCCACGACCCACCTTAAGACACAGTGCTTTTTCTCAACCTCTTGATTTTCCCTTAAAGCTTTACGTGTTCCGAAACTATATATATTGTTATCGATTCAAATGTTTTGAAAATATCCCCACGCCTTGCAGCACAATGTGAAGCCGGACGATGGGGGATCGCAGGGATCAAAGAAACAAATGCGCCAAGGAGACACTGAACGAAAGTTTCAAGTGTAACACGCCGAAAAAGGCAGCCTTAGTAGCTTCGGGTACCTAGTGGGGTGCATCCTAGACTAAACGAGTAGATACGCCCTGCTTGACTAAACATTCTTTTCTAGTCGAACAGTGTTTGTAGTATTCCTTCTAAAATTCCCTTCCCCACGGCACGCAGTGCCTCAAGCAGCTTTTGTCACCTATCGGCACTGCTTTAGAAGCGGCCGAGCATTTTTACAGACGTTTTTGCGAGTCTGGGATCCATTTACGGTCACTTTCATGTCTGCTGGCCCAATATTCGTTTTGGTTCTGCTAGGGGATTTTGAACGACACTACAATGCATTGGCGTAATGCAGCTGCTTGCAGAAGATTCCCTATGAATAGCAAAGGCTCTTCTAAACTAATAAGGCTAGGAAACTCGTCACACAATTTACTTGCCTTCTCTTCTCCCGTAGCTGGAAACTCACACCTTTCAACGTTCGAAAGAGAGAGCGCTGACTCCACCACCCTAGTTCGCTCTCGCAACGTGTATAGGTGTGTGATATTCCAGTAAATTTTTGCCGAAAAAAGATTAAGGCCTCCCTTCTTTTGTTTGTTGCATGGTTTCACGCTTCTGCCTGCCTGAGTAATTATAATAGCGTGAGGGGAATCTCTCTTTCTCCTGCAGACCGATGTTCCTGACATACTTGTATGGAACACGAAGGCGTATTTTATGAGTTGGGAAGAGAAAAGCGCTGCGCAGTAAGCGACGCGAAGCCAGTTCACTGAGCTAAATTAAACTTAATCAGTGTAGTAGAAACGTTTTATTTGCTCGGTCTCGTTATGTGTATCATTTACTGCAGAAGAAAGTTAGCTCCAAACGGTAAGACGCAATGTTGCGTGCATCTGCGTAACCTGAGAATGCTTGGAGGGTTTAGGAGGTGTAGTACCCTGCAACCTAGCTAGCCCTTTTGCCTACGTCGAGATCTTGAAGCGATGCGTGCATAAAAGGGGGCAGCTATTTTGAAAAGCCTTCAGCCTTCCAAATTTGTACAGGCTCTGGAGCTAAAGGGCAGCAATGTGTCTGCACATACCTGTGAAAAAAGGCTTTCCAAAGATCTCTTTTAAAGGTCCTTGGAGGTCCTAACCCAACGATGGGATGATCTTTTTAGATGAAGTAAAATGGGCGACTCTTCTAACTTTCACTCAGTTAGGCGCAAGAGTGTACGCGCAGTGTAACGAGCTCTCACTCACGGATTTTTGAAGGATGGGTCGTCAGACGCCAACCAGATTATATTTTGAATATTAGTGTTGCTCAATTTTCTTTCAAAAGAGACCTTATCTAGCTCACATATCTCGACAAAAAAAGATACGCGAAGAGACTATCCAAATAGACAGTTTTTAAATGAACCCTTTATATATAATCAGTGGGCTACAAAATCCTAATATGTACCTTAAACTGCGATTTCTTTCCTTCCCCACTTATATTTGCCCTCCTCTTTCATGCCTGTACTTCAAGCACAACTGCTTGCAGCACGTCAAAAGACCATCTGAACTACTGCCCTTCTCCAGGCAGGCACAGACGACAAACATTCCAGCTTAAAAAAATAGAGACCACGTCAACCGCTTAAGTAAATTCTGAAGCAAGAAGCAGACAAAACACTATGCAACAACGAACGAGGGAACAGCACAAAGCGAATTTGGCACTTATCTTTTTTCTGTGGTCACCGCGCCGACATGTCTGAGCCCTTTACGTGGGTACAGACGACAGGTAAAATGTGTTAAGCAAGTCATGATGCGTGTTAGGGCTCACAAGCACACAACATTAACTATCATTGTGTTAAACCAAATCTACTCTGCACTCGAAGTACTAGAAGCCTGCTCGAATAGTTAGACTTTCATTAGCTCTCACTTAAATGTATTAGGTGTAGTCACAAGTACGGAAGTATAGTTGGACCCTTAAACAGCAGCCTCCTATGACGATTCATTCATTCCTCTCGCAGCTGCATTATTGCTTTTTCAGATTCTTCGTTTGTTCAGCAATAGAATTCTCAAAAATTGGCTGATACATTCGGCTTCTTGATCACTTTTCCTGTTCTACCTAAGCGCAAATCAAATACTGTTGGAACGCCTGGAGTCCGTTGGAGCGCAAAGTTACCATCTCTACTGATGGAAAAGTACTCGAAAGGCTCAGGAGATGTTCAGATGCGCAGTTTTAGTGCCTCATGTTTCTTCATGCCCACACGTTAGTTGGTAGGGAGAACGACAGTGGTTTCATTCAAAGTGTCTACAAACAGACGCTGACGTCCACACTCAGCGATAATCTCTTTAAATGCAATTGTGTATTTCACACTGGAACTGCCCCCTTATCCCAGGCGCGCCCCCAAGAATTCCTGACATGAAGTAAAAGGCGCAGCTAGGCTGCGTGTTGCTTGAAGTTCAAAACACTCCGAGGGATCACAGCTAGTTGCACGTCGCATTTTGCGCGGACGAAAAAGAGATAAAGCCTTTTTGCATCGAGCAAGCAGCACTCTACAGTAAATAAGAAGAAATGGACTATGCAAATCGCCAGCGTTTTAACAGATTCTTGGCTATATACAACTAGCAAATGAATAAAAAGTTGAGGGGCTCAAGTCGAGTAACTCCTTACACAAAGCATCAATGAAGTTGAACTACTGACATTCTTCCGACAAGGCAGTTTCTACGACTGCTGCCAACAGGGGTGAACAAGAATCTACGTGTTGGTGATACGGCAACGCCACTATTGATTCCGCTTGCTCTCTGGGACATTAATGGCAGCAAAGTTGTGCTATAGTGGGAATAGCACACCCAGTGGCAGTTGCTAATCCTCCAGTGCCTCGCTGTTTCAACCATAGTCAGGTGACGCCAAAACTATTTTTAATGAAAATATCATATTTTCATTAAAAGTCACGAGCTTTAGCTGCTTATGCACCTCAGTCAAGCGGAATCTCAAAAGCGCATGCGCGAGGGTGGTGGCGTTGCTGTTGCTGGTCTTCCTGCTTGAGTGCGCGCTGAATTTCCATCTCACTGCCTGCCAGCAACACTGCAGTGCTGATCTCGCTAGGATTTTCTGATGCCCTGCTGGTGTTGCTATTGCTGGTTCCGAATGTTGGCACTCCTGCGCCACTCGCTGCGGGAAACTCGCCCGTTTGGCTCGCCTGGGGATACGCTGCTGGTGGGACTAGCGTTGGCTGTCCTGCAGCAGCGGAGACAGCCGAGAGAATATGCTGCTCCGCTGCGAACAGCACCGACGTTGTGATAGCCCCCGTTCCTTCAGTAGTACTGCTGTTGCTGCTAAGAAGTGAGGCGCTGGTCTGCTGCTGGAGCATCGGCGAGCTATTCCCGCTGCTGCAGCTGCTGCTGCTGCCGGAAGCATCGAGCTGCTTTAGCATGCCGTCGAGCATTGCAGACGCCAGCGCGTCTCCCACTGTACTTGCCCCATCCGGCTGGTGCTTGTCAAGCTGGTGAGCTGGCGGCTCGAAAGAGAATTGCCCCAGTAAGTCTTCGGCAGTCACAAATCCCTGCAGCGGACGCTGCTGGGGTTGCTGTCGCCATGAGGCATCCTCGTCGCCGCCTCTACCACGCGTAGAGGAAATTGAGGCATTCGCAGGATTCGAGACGTTACGACTATCTTTGGCGGCACCAACAGACAGCGCTGCTGCTGATTCTTTTGCCAAAGGTACTGCTGAGGAGGCAAAGCCTCCAACATCAACAACATCCGATAACCCAGGGGAAACAGGGATTGCAGCACTGCCCGCCGCGAAGCCGGAGTTTGCTGCTGCTGCCTTCCCTTGAGCTTCAGTAGAGGATCCTACCCGCACGCGCTCTGGAAAGCTGAGGGGTAGGGCACCAGTATAGGTACTGCTACTACTGCTGCTACTACTACTGCTGCTACTATTACTGCTGCTACTATTACTGCTGCTGCTTTCCGTAGGTGGAGGTCGTGTGCACCCAGCAAAACCAGTCTGCGGCATGGCAATGCCAACGCTGCTGCTACTGCTACTACTACTACTACTGCTGCTAAGAGTGGGTGGCAGTGGATGCCCTCCAGGCAGACAAGGCGTGGGCAAGCCAATCGTGCTGCCTCTGCTGCTGGTGCTGCTGCTATCGTCAGACGGCCCCTCCTGGAGGAGTGCCTCTTCAAACTGTTGCTGCATCAGCAGCTGCTCTTGCATCAAAGTCTCTTTCTGCTGCTGCTTTCGCTGTAGCTGAAGGTGCTTCTGCTGCTGCTGCTCCAGTGTTGCCTCTAAACTGTCTTTGCCGCTTTTTTGCTGCTCCTCCCGCTGCTGTAGTTGATGTCGCAGCACGAGCCACTGTGGCTGTTTCTCGCTCCGCTGCTGCTCTTGCTGAGGTTGTTGCTGCTGCTCTTGCTGAGGTTGTTGCTGCTGCTCTTGCTGAAGTTGGTGCTGTCGCTGCTGCTCCTCTTGCTTCAGCAGCTGCTTTTGCAGGAACAGCTGCTGCTTCATTTGTTGCCGCAGCAGCAATCCCTGAGTGCGGGTCAAGGATTGAAGCAGATTGCTATTTCCTTCCGCAGCCGCCGCAGCAGCAAACAGCTGCTGCTGCTGCCTTATTCTCAGGTTGCTGCACCCAAGCGCACGAAGATGTCTTTTGTTACCTGCCGCTGCTGCCGCAGCTGACCTTGCACTCGCAGCAGCAGCGCAAAGAGATACAGAATTGCTCTCGGCCCGAAGAGACGAGAGAAACACCTGCTCTGCTGATTGACGATCTGCAAAGAAACCGCTAACCACTCGACTGGCTGCTGCCGCTTTTCCAGGCTGGAGATTGCGCTGCCGAAGCAGAAGCTGCCGCTGCTTCTTCTCCGGCTGGTCCGTTAGCCGCAGCCGCTGCATTCGATTCCTCACCAAGGCATCAGCCTCTTCATCATTCAGCGGAGTGCGCGACCTGCGGAGTTGCTGTTGTTGCTGCTGTTGGTCCTGTTGGCGTTGTCGCTGTAATAATGGCTGTTGTGGCTGCTGTTGTTGCTGCTGCGATAGCTGTTGTTGCTGCTGCGATTGCTGTTGTTGCTGCTGCGATTGCTGTTGTTGCTGCTGCTGTTGCTGTTGCTTGCGGACCTGCAGCAACCCTACCTCGGGTTGTTGATCGACTTGGTGTTGGTGGTGCACCTCCTGCTGTGGCAGCTGCTGTAAGCGCGTTGCAAGCTGCTGCTGCTGCAGGCGAATCTGCATCTCTAGCCATTTCCTTTGCTGCTCCAGCTGCCGCTGCTGCTTCTGGAGCATTTCAAGCTGGAGTGCCTCCTCCGGATCCGGCTCCACCACTTCCTCCCGCTGCTCGTCCCCCGCCTTCTGTTGCGGCAGCCGTTGCTCCGTCCCCCGCAAAGTGATCGACTCCCCACACCTTTGGACAGTGTCAAGGTGCTGGGGGTCAGTCGCCTCCCGCAGCGACAGCAACTGCTGCTGCTGTATGGAGTGCTCCTGCTCCGCTTGGTTCTCCTGCTGCGGCAGCTCCTCTTGCGGCACGTCACCATCTCCCCACCAGGCTGGGTAAGTGCTGCTGCTACCCGTGCACCTGCAACAGCAACAATCACAAACGCATGCTCGTACGAGATCCAAGAGCAGAAACTTCCAGCCACATCTGTAGCACTTCCACCCGCAGTCAAAGCAACAACCTACGGGTCGGCCCCACAGTCCCCCCTCCTCCAAAGGCTGCTTGCTTTGGCGCTGCTGCTCCTCCTGTGTTTTCCCGCTGCAGCTTCGGCAGCCTGTGCGGCGTCTTTTCGGCCTCTGCTGCCTTGCAGCAGCTGTAAGGGAGCTAATTTGTGCGCCGGCGTCAAGGAAATGTCGGTGTTTGCTGCAGCCGCAACAACAGACGGTTCACGTGTCTGCGGTCGTACACAACCCCGCGCTACGGCTGAGTGCACTGACACCAGAGAACATTCGACAGCCAGTAGCTGTACTGAGAGCACCAGCAGTGGTGGCTGTACTATCTATCATGGAAGCGCAAGCGTCCGCAGGCGCACAAGGGCATCATGAAGGAAGTACCATTGACGATGCTGATAAGATCTTGAACCGAAAGAGAATGAAGGGGCAGTCCCGAGTTGCGAAGCGACACGACTCCCAAAACAAAGGTCCTTCAGCAAGACAGACAGTGCAGATCAACAGAGAGAGCAGCCATAAGTGTTTCAAGGCTGCAAGGGTGGTTTCGAACCTAGAAACTAGACCCGAGGGTCTCTATGAATGTCGAAAAGCGCTAGAAAAGCAGCGTAAGACACATTGTCTACCTACCACTTCACAACTGCTGGCCACTGTTGTTCAGCAAAGGTTGCCAAGTACCTGCACACACGAGCACCAGCCCGTCCAGACACGCGCATCATCGGAATTGACACAGAAACTGGAATAGCTCACACTCAATAGGAAAAACACATGGAGAACAACAGTGGTAAGGGACCGCTTTGCATTTGACGGGCCTTTTGATCATGGAGTGCGTCAACCATTCGCTGATGAAGACAGCGCTGCGCGTCGGCCGCGATACGGCAGCTTCCGGTTCCAGAAAGCAGACTGCCTTCGCTGAAGACATCCTGCTGAAAGCGATGTTGCTCCTCTCTCCGCGTCTGCTGCTCGTGTTGCCCCCGTCCTCTGCTCTCCAACAATCCACTTGCAGTGTCGGGAGCTAGTTGACCTCCGCTGGCTGCATGTGCAGTGCTCCTGCAGGCAGCGATGCCGCTCTCAATGAGGTCCTACGACTCTTAGTGCCACTGTGGATGCGTTATATGCGCATGTCTCTGAGCGGTCGGCCCTTTGTTCTCCACAGACAGCACGAGCTGCTTTCTGCACGTAGGTAGCCGCGGCCCTTCCTGGCGTTGCTCGGCTCGTTTAGCTGCTCGTGAAAGGCGCAAAAACTCTACAGAGTCCCTTTCTAGGAGCACCCAATGGAACCATTCCCGCAGTGCAGCCGCACAGCTCCTATGGTAGGTATGCCCCCAATGGGGGCAACAGCTGCAGTCCGGGATCGCTGATGCTACTGCATGCAGCAGCAGAGCGGATCTTTGAAAAAAAATCAGTAACCCAGAAGGCTTAATCTGTTTATCAGACTACCGAGGAACTGCTGCGGTTAGTTATGTTGTCGCAGCGACACCGCCGACAGAGCTAGTGGATATCAAGTGGCTCCAGGAGTAGCAGCAGGGGCAGCCGACAGCAGCCCTAGCTAGGGAAAAGTCGCAGCGGGCACGAGCTGCTTAATTAGAAACTCCTGCTTTCGATTAAGTATTCTATTTTGATGCTGCAGTACAGCAACGCCATCGACGCCGCCACTCCTGCGGCACTACGAGGGGCCACCCTCCTCCGGCCTTCCAGATTCATGTAGATGATTATATGCTGCCTAAGAGCACCCATTTCGGATGATCTGCTCTTACTTCTGCCACGGCGGGCAGTGCAGGGTGCAGCGGGAACACCGGAAATAGCAGTTTTGCCCTGGTTACCCGCAGCCCGCATGTAGGCCCCCAATGTATGCAAGTTCTTCCTGCTCTTGAGCGCTTCTACTGCAGCGGCTACTACACGCATTTCAGAAGGTATACGCAACAGCTGCTACGCCTGCTCATGTAACTTCACCTTAACCAGCAGCTGCTGTGCCTCCACTGCTCCCAAGCGCCTTCCTCTGATCCTTGTGGCGTGAAAACCAGCGGCTGCTGCTAACGTCCGGCAACAGCAACGCGCACCGCTGTCAACATAGGTATCAACTGAAATTTCTGCCCTGCGAGCACCAGCAGCAGCAGCAGTAGGCCCGGCAGCAATGTCACAGCCGGTTCGCTTTCGCATTGAGCCAACAACTGTGGGAGATGGCCGCTTGCTGCGGTTTCTCACTGAGCAACACCCCCCGCAGCCTTCCTGGGAGGCCCCTCCTATGAGGCCCCTCCCGGAGCAGCAGCAGCATTTACAGCAACTGAAGCACAGCCCAGCTGCTCGCGAAGTTTCTGAAGGTACGGCTGGCTCTGTCGGGACAGGTTGTGTCGCTGCACCGGCTGCCTCAGGGGTTACTACAAAAAGTACTTCCGCGGCAGTGGTGAAGGCAACAACAGGAGCGGCTTCCGAATCTGGCAGTAACGAGGAGAGGAACAATTTGCGAGAATGGCTGGCGCAATCCGCAGCTGAAGACCTCGTCGCCCCCCCGCTTGACTTGCTGCAGAAGAGCGGTGCATTCCTTATGTCGGTTGACGAGCAGCAGCAACAGCAACAGCAGGAGCAAAGCCTTTTGCTGCGGAACGAGGCGGTATGGGCCGAAGCCATTCAAAAGAGAGACAGAGCAGCGCAGCGTCTCGCTGCAGGTGGGATGGCAATCGATATGCTCCTAGGTTCTATAAATGCAGCACCAGGAGAGCGCTTTCTCACGCTGCTGCCTGCTGTAGATCAACCTCAGCAACCGGATCAGCAGGAGCGGCAGGAGCAGGAGCAGCAGCAACAGCTTCTCATAGGACTGCAGCAGCGCTACGAGCGAGCCGCCAAGCTCCACGTCGCGATTGCTGATTGCAGAGGCAGCTTTACGGGCCGCCAGGGAGCATGTGCGTCTGAGCAGTGGCTGCTGCTCCTCCAATTGTTGCAGCAGCAGCAGTGGGAGACAGTTAAGAAGCAATACCAGCCTTTAGAGTTCGAGTTGGGCGACGGCAACTACCCGTACCGGGCCGAGGTGTACATACACCTGATTCATGTCGCATCCACCTGCTGGGGTGGCAACGCCGACCTAAGATCACGCTTGCCGCTTCCCCCCCCGCCTCCCTTTCAGGAGCATTTTGCGCTGCTGTCCGCTACAGAGCCTCTGGATGAGAAGCTCCGGAACCATAAAGACCAGGCAGAGCAGCTGCACTTGCAACTTGAGTTTCCTTCACCGATAGGTCCTCTCGTTGAGTCCAAGTCTCTTTTACATTGCAGTGTCTCGCTGCTTCTGCCGTTGCCGGATACAGAGGTGCGCAGCGTGCAACAGCAGAATGGCTGTTGCTGCTGCTGCGCCCTCAAGGGAAGTCATGCTGCAGCTGGGTGCGGAGCACCTACTTTGGCAAGGCGGGAGGCTCAGGCTGCAGCTGCCGATGCGGGAGCTTCGCCTTCGCTTTCACCGCATGGATCCACCTGTTTGCCCCCGCTTCCTGAGTTGCGGCCCCTTCTGCGAGCAGATGGCGCCAGCAGCAGCGGCGAGAGCGCTGTAATTGACGCAGCGGCAGAAGTCTATCAGCACCTAGAGGCAGCGCAGTGGGTGCTGGCAGATCTGGCAGCTGCGCATGTTCTCATCTCGCAGCTGCTGCTGCAGGAAGGAGGCGTTGCACTTGCCTGTCGGCACCGCGCCAGCAGAGAAAACAGCAGCAGCTGGTGCGGGATTCAATGCGCGAGTCAGTGCCTCTCCGTTGAGGCACTTCAAATTGCCGGTGATCGCGTCGACCTCCTCATACGGAATGTTCCTGTGTATCGGAAAGGGGGCCTGGCACCCGAGTGCGACCACACACATGATCTTGCGCTGTCTCTTGCTTATGTTGCCTCTGGCCCCCCTAGCAGCGACGCCACCAACTCTACCACCTGCAGCAGCAACTCTCTGTGCAACCGTTGCTGCAGCTTCAGCGGCCTATTGCTGCGGCAGTTCGAGCGCGTTGTTGTGCTTTCGCTACGGCAGCTATTCCTTGACGCGTGGGCAGCAGAGGCATTTGATGCACCCGCTGCAGCCGCTGACTCTAATCTGATTTCGCCGCCGGTGCTGTTGCTGCAGCAGCAATTAAGACACAAATTTCGGCTGCCTTCACCTCAGCAGTGCGAGCAGCAGAAGCAGCACCTGCCGGCGCTTAAAGGCATGCACTTGCTGCGCAATTTCCTCAATTGGCTATTGACAGCCGTAGACCAACTGATGCTGCCCCCCACACGGCCGCAGGCATTGTAGGATGTCGAAGCAGCACAGCACGGGGATGCAGTTGCAAGGGTGTAACTATTTGTCCTTAAGTTCCCTAGTTTTAGGCAGACACTTTTTATAGCACAACGGTAACCAAGCCGGCGGGCAGGAGTGCCACCACTGAGGATACCTGCTCCTTGCTCCGGCGTAAGTGTCCCTACATGCATATGTACGTTAGCAAATATATACAGCTTAGAAAAGAGCACCTCCTCTTGCAAGCCACAAGATGGCTGGAACATAGCAAGCCGAAAAATCGCGAAGTGCGGCACAAAAACAACAGCAGAACACCCATCAGGTTAAGCACGTCGCAACGCAGCGGTGCCCTCCACAATCGTATAGCAGTAAGCCTGTTGTTGGATGCACCAGTGCAGGAGCACCCACGAAAAAACACGGTGGCAAGCTCGCAGCGTCACGGTACACCGCAGTGGAGTTTTCTTAACAAGCCTGTGGTGCCGAGAGAGAATCGCAGAAAGCTTGGACGGCAAAACAATTCTACTAGAGCCGGGGAGCGACTGGCTCCCCTGTCACTGCGCAGGCGGAAGGCCAGCTGTTGTTACTGCTGCTGTTGTTGCTGGCCTACGTTCGCTGATTCTGAGTATTGCTGCCATTGTTCCGAACCAATGTGGTCTGCAGCTGAAATGCTGCTCAACTCGTCGTGCTGCTCCTTCTCCAATTGCTTCTTTTGATGGCTGCTACGTTGCTGAGTCTGTTGAACCTTGTGGGTGGCGTCCTGCTCTACTTTCCGCTGCTTCTGGACGATTAGGTTTAACAGAGTGTGTAGCAGTGCCTCTGCGCCTTGTGCATCGAGAATGCACACGCAGCTCTGTCGAGTAGCCAGCTGCACTCCCCTGTAGCAACAGCGGCACACATAAGGAGCCGCAACCACAGCAGCAGACAACTCCCAGAGACCTATAGCAGCAGTAAGCCGGCAAAGGGTCGACAGCCGCAAGAAGGAAGGCCATGGTGGAGGCAATAGCAAAGCCGGCGTCCTACTTCTTCAAGACTCCGCGAGAAGAGACAACTCCGACAGGCACCCGCGCTGCTGTTGCTGCGGAAAAAATGGCGTCCACCTGATCAGTGATTCCTCCTGAAAGCCGTCAAAGCCATCACAGAAGCTTGTGCTGCTTCTTTTGCTCTAGCAGCCACTGCACCGGAAGCAACAATGGCGGCCGTAGGAGATTCACCGTGCAGAAAAGCGGCAGTCGGCGGGAGTGTCAGCAACCGGAATGACAAATCTGAGATCCCAAACTACGCAGCTGCGGGAAAAAGCAGTTCAGCGAGGGATTTAATAGAGGCATTCTGCCCAGGCAGCAGTCAGCACCAGCGCACCAGGTGTAATAGTTCGTTCCACATTGGCGGCCAAAAGCACAAGAAGAGGCTTTCTGCGGGTGGACTCCACCAGCTCCAGCTGGTTTCCTTCGCTGTCGCTGCTGCTACTGCTCCTTAGACTAAAGTCAACTGCCTGCGGCTCCGCCTGGTTGTGCTGCTCGGGAGCCTTGCATTTAGCTGCCTGGCAACCCAGTGACTCCTCCACGTGCTGCTTCCATCGGAGCTGTTGCTCCAGTGCTGCTGCCGCTGCCTGCTTTGCCAAAAGGCTGGCGATTTGCCGCTGCTCCTTCGACTGGCGGAGACGCTCCGCATAGTGCTGTAGCACTTTGCGAGTCTCTTTGAGGCCGCAAATAAAGCGTCGCCGCGCAGCAGCCCGTACGGGAGCGCGCTGTTGCAGGCGAACCTTAAAAGAGCAGCCAGGGCAGCTATAGCAGCAGCAAATGTGCAACGCTAGTAGCAGCAAAAAGATGCGTAGGACCGCACGCAGAGCTACGCGCGACGGCAGGGAGAATTCGCAACAAAAATGAGCGCTTCGAGAGCTTTCTGTGGTAGCAGCAGGATGCATACCTGAAAGCCTCGAAGTATGCTGAGAAGCTTCACAGCAGCTGCATCTATTTCAGGACACATCAGCTGAGGAAAAATCTCAGCACCACATTCAAGGCAGGCAGCAGCAGTAGATCCACGCGCTGCGGCGTCAGTGGCAGTGGACGCCGCACCAATATCCGCAGTGAACGCCCACAGAGTCTCCAGTACAGCACGTGAAGACGAAGCGCTACGCGTGTCGAGAGAGGCCGTAGCAGCAGCGGCATGAGGCTACGATGTCAGGCCTATTCTCTCTACCTCTGCTTCAGGCGTCAAAACTACCCTGGCTGATGCATATGCAGCGCGCTGCTACTGCTCTTGCTGCTTACCTCTGAGAGTTCTTTATGCAACTGCGGGTGATTCGCCTGAAAGATGGCCACCCCAGAAAGCGTTTCTTCCTCTTCTACGCTGTTCGCGCAATGGTCATCGGAGCCACTGACGCCAGCTAGTGCTTCTCTGGAATCTGCTGTGGCTACCGGCTCAAACGCAACAAGGCTAGCAGGCAAACGTCGCACGCCGCTACTTTGTGGCGTGTCTGTGATCTCTGCTCCGCCAGTACCAGGAACAGTAGCAGCAGCAGCAGTCTTTATTTCTGCTCCGGACTGCGACATCGCCAGTGTTGCATTTCCCGGTGCCATCACTTCATCCTCCGGCTGCAGCACTACACGGTCTTGTTGTTGCTGTGGCTGCTGCTCATGCTGTGCCTCACGCTGCAGCTCCGATTCACCGTCCTGGGAGACGTCTACGAGCTGGCGTGTCAGAAGTTGCTTGTGCGCCCTTTCGTGCTGCAGTAGCTTGCGCATGCCTTTGAGCCTGCCCTTTTTCGCCAAAGGTTTGCCTCTGTATCGAAGGGATTCCAGAGGCAGTCCGGCAGCAGCAGCAGCTGCTGCCGACACTGAAGGGATATCACGCGCTGCTCCATGCCTTGGACGCTGCTTGTTTTCCTGGAGGCGCTTCTGCTGTTCTGGCCCTTTCTTCTGCTGCGCTTCTTGCGGCTGCTGCTTCTTCACGCAGAGCTCTAAAGGAATGGATGCAGTTGGTCCCCCATGAGGCCATCGCCTGCCCTTGGTGCTGCTTTGATGTCTCTTGTTGCCACTGCCGATCGGGCAGGCTGCTGCTGCAGTGAGGCAGCCGCTGCTGTCACTAGTGGCTAAGCAGGAAACACGATAGCCCTTCGCGTGCGTTGAAGCGGAGAGGGCGGGGAAGTCTTCATCTCCAAAAAAAGCTATTTGCAACTCGTGCTGCTGTGGGTGCTGCGGTGATGCTAACTGCTGCGGTTGTTGTAGGGCTTGCGGGTGCAGCCGCAGCGGCTGTTCCCGCAGCACTTCGGAGCCTTCGCGATGGTTGGGAGTCGAACAATGTGAGTGGCAAGCACTGCCTCCCCTTCGCTTCAACTGGCCCCCGTGATAGCTCGTCTTTTGCCGATGACTCGCCAGCAGCTGCAGAGGGTCTGCATCCTGCCCACTTAGAAGAGGATACACAGGGGCCTCTCCTTGCGGTGTACAAAACTGCCTGGTTCTGTCTGGGATGTTGGGAATGTTGCGACCCTCTTCCTGCATCGGCTCATGTAGCGATTGCCGATGTTCTGGCTGTTTCTGAATCTGTGACTTGAGAAGATATGAAAATAAATTCATACCACCTGTCACACAGTACTGTCCATCAAAACAGGCAGCCGAAGGCAAAGCATGCAGATTCAATTGCAGGCAAGAGGACGGCGATGCCTGGATTCAGCAGGATATAGGAGAGCACACATTCATAGGGATATCGGGTTGGCCCTTCACCTAGATTTCAATGAGCGCCATCAACACTCTACTCCAGGTTGCTTCCCAAAATACACTCCGAGTCATGGGAGGCACATTCTTAAGGGGGGCCCCCTCCGGGCGCGGGGGCCCCCCTTTGTGCGTCGATGCGGCCCCTACTGTGGAGAGCACCCTAAAGTTAGAGGCTACTTGAACGCCTGCAGATATTCAAAAGGTTTCTTTCGCTTCACATTCCATTACTTGTATTCCTCCTCGTACTGGTAATGTGCGAACATGCCGACCGCAGCCGAGGCCCCCTTCAAGGATTTCCGCACGCTTAGCCACTGGGAGGATCCTTAAACTCTGTCTCTCTTAGGAATATCCTCCAGTGCATCACTATGAAAATGAGTCTTCTTACTGTGTTCAACGGGCTCGAGTGCGCGGGTATTAAAAAGGCCACCGCAGAACCACACCTGTCCGCAGCCGCTTCAATGGCGGCTGCTGTTGCTGCTAACGTCGCCTCTGCTGCCGCACGTTTGGCTACCGCAGCATCAGCAATAGCAGAAACCATTAACTTAGCACCCTCAGCTTCAGGATCTACGCCAGCCATCTTCGAGTCCTCAAAAGATCAGCCACCACCAACTCCTGAGTTTGTTACCGCCAATGCACTAATTGCGGCAGTCTATAATGCTGCTGACCATCAAAAGGAGAGAATCCCCCCCGCGGGTGCGCTGGAATACCACATGCTCCTGCCCGTGATTCTGGAGCACCTAGAGCGCCTAGTTCGTCAAGAACGTACTGTGGAGGGGGAAGAACCTATTGTGGAGGAAGATAACACCCAGCCTGGAGAGAAATCCGATGCACAAGGAGCACTCGTTGACAACGGTAGAGAGCGTGCTGGCACTAGGGAATCTCAGCTGCCCCGCAGCCAGGATCGAGAGGAGTATAGTGTCTACGGTAGGCAGAGAGACTTGCGCTAATATCGGTCCTGTGCAAGGCACGCCCTTTCACTTTGCTCTCGAGAGTCTAGCGGCTTGTGTGTCTTGGCTCTGTCCTTCATTCACTCTGCCGCTTCAATCCTTAGACATTCCTGCTGTTATTCATATGCTGCAGTGCGTGGCATCAGCCGCACCAGCAACAGCGCCGCTCTGGCGCGTCTCTTCAGCTGCTTTGGCCACGTCACTTCTTTTCAACGCAAGCACGGCTATTGCTTTGCTACTTACTCCAGTCTGCCCTCGAGTGTATTTGATGCCACTCCTGGATACCCCTGTGCAGCCGCAGCCGCAGCGACCGCCATTCATTACCTGGACGGAGCTGCCAGTGGCTGTAGAGAGGAAAAAAGGCTATCCGTTACTCTCGCCAAGATATCGCCCTCTCTCCCAAAGCACCTTTTAGACGGCGACCGCATTGCCAGCAGCAAAGCGTGCAGGTGTACGTGCTGCAGCGTGGCCAAACACTTCAAGGAGACAGAAGCAGCTGAGGCTGCTGCTGCTGCATTTATCGTTCCGTTAAAGAGCACATGCACAACTCCGCCTCCAGCAGCCGCCCCAGTTGCAGCACAGCCAGCATCGCCGGCAGCCTTTGCATCGCCTACTAGGCACCCATCCTCCCCAGCAGCAACCCAAGCAGCAGCCGTTGACTTTCCGCTGTTCTTTCGCCACATCTCCCAGTTTTTGTCATTACTCCATGGCCAACAAAAAAATCTCCCCTTGATGCGCATTGTACGCCATCAACACTGTGGAACTAATAGCCTCCTCTACAGCTCTGTTTCCTCGAGCCTACTGCATGCAGCTCCATCAATAGTAGTTCCACTGGGAGGCGGGGGTATATTTTCAATTGGCCTAGTGTCTGCCTCACTCCGAACACTACCTGCTGTTGCAGTTAAGCAGGTTGCTCCTAAATCACCTCTTGCTCGGGCGACTGTTGTGTTTTGCTATTCGCCTTCAACGCGTTCAGGCGAGCCGGGGGGGCGGCTTTATTGCTGCAAAGGAACTCAGCGAGTCCATGGGAGTCGCTGCAGCTTTGTAAGTTTCGCGCTGATAGTGTGCTGCCTACAGACGGCCTCCGTAGGCGGTAAACCTCTGGAAACTGACTGTTCAGCTCTGCCCTGTGTTCGCCCACTGAAGGTTTCGCCCCAGACGCGATGCGTGATGAGAGGACTGTGATGAGCTTGAGTGCTGTATTCTTACGTGCCGACAGAGAGGGCTCTATATTGGCGGCTTCACTTAGCTCTTAGGCAGTGCCTGGTATGGCTGCACTCCTTAGGCCTAGTCAAGGCCGTAACTGTACGGCAGCCGAGGCATATGCTGATAGACACGCGCCGCACCAGCCTAAATGCCCTAACCCACACATGCTCATTTCTTTTGCTGTGCTGACAGATGATAGCCCATGTAGTGCTGTCGAACTTCATTGTTGAGAGCTCTACGGACACGCAAGCACAAGATCGGTTATGGCATCAAGGGCAACATTCTTGTGACCACTTGTCAGCTGTCTATGTGCACTTTTTCGTGAGCATATTTGTGTCCGTACGGGTGTATGTGTGTTTGTGTGTGTGGATCGGCGTCGTAGGCAGTTTGCATTCAAAAAATGTCTGCGATTGCCTCTAGAGAGTCTCTCAGCTTTAGTGTTCGTCCCGGGAGACGGCCAACACCCGGTAAAAACCACTGGACTGCTGTATAGAGGATGAATGAAGAGCTGTTTCTGCCATCGAACCATAAATAATTATGCCCCAGGGATGTGTCCGCCCAACTTTGTGCGGGATACCTGCCCATCACCAGTAGCACTAACTCCGTCCGTCAGAAGAAACAGACTACGATAATCCGGCACCGCGATCTATGCTTGTGCATGTACGCATGCAGCGTTTTTGTGTGGACGTAAGTGGGCCTGTGCGTGTCCGTGTGGTCTTTCTTCGCAGAGGACGTCTGCTGCTGTGTGTCTTCAGACTCCAGCTTCATGGCGATGTGTGTCAATAGACCCCCGAATGCAGCCGCAACACTGCGATCCGACGATTCAGCATACACCTTCTGCGCACGCTAGTGCTGCTGCTTCAGCACATACAGTGACAAAATGCCGCTTCGTGGGCAGCCTCGAAAACCGTGTGTTTTGTTTCCGCGGGACTGCTGAAGCCTTTTGCTTTCAAGACCTAAGCACCGTCATGCAGCCGCACGATGGCCGGCTCGAGGGACCAGATACAATTGTGCTGCTTGGCGTTCACTCGCATGCGCCGCTGCAGGAGTTTTTCGATAAGCTCTTGCAAGTCTACGGAGGAACGGCCAAACATTTCGTTGCCATTTCGCTGCCTTGCTGCGGTAAGGAAGCGAAGCCTCTCTGGCAGTCTGTACAGTGAATGCCAATAACAAGTATTCGGAGGAGCAACAGCACGCCTTCCAATGTTTGCTGTGGTGCAGGGTCAAGCGGTTTTCTAAGGGGCCCCCCCATTTCTCGATATAGAGACCCAGGGATTCTGTCCCACGAGAATGAGGTGTACATACACCACATTCAACCTGCTGCCCCCTCTTCAACAGAGCGCTGACCCACTGAAGCCAATTCTTATGGCAAACGCCGTCCTTATTGTAGCCACCCGCTTGCTCTAGCAAATGCCCGGCGAGGCCCTAGAAGAAGCGCTGACTCGCACACAGCCCAAAGACAACTGCGAGCACCGCGCTGCATGCAATCGCCAACGTCAGCCGCCATATGGACCGTACTGATGTTACTCCTGCTGCTCCTGCGGAGGCCAACTGGTCAGCGTAGGGTGACGGCACAGGGCTCGTGGCGCCGGCGAAAAAACGCGAGGACATGCGATAATGTCTCTGGCCGTCAGCAGCTGCTACATTCAATGCGCAGGCCTCCTGCGTTACTGCTGAGGCTTCCCGTGCTGTGCGCACGCGCTGAAAACGCATGCAGACGCAGCGCCTCGCACTCAGGAGGGTAAGCAGGTGCGCGAAACGGCAAGGAACACTCCTTGACACTGACATACTACGACAAGGACACAGACAACGGCACGGCTAGATTTCGACTCCAGCAGAAGCCCGGATATTAGAACACCAGCGTGCTGACGGACGCCACCGCCTCCCTTGAACCCCCACCTCGATAAATTCTGGAAACAGCCGCCGAAATGTGCTATTTGCTATGCATGCCGCTGCCGACTCTCTCGCCAGCCGCATTCGATGCTCCGCAGAGGTGTTTATACACCCTACCGAGCCAGAGGATCTCTCATCTGCAGCAACAGCCATAAGCGCGCGTCCCGCTCAGTGGTTGATGGAGACAGTGGAGCACCAGGCTACCACTGCACGCGTGGCGCCAACGACACATCTCCTGGTGCACAAACTACGGCCTCATATTGAGCAATAAGAACCGCTATAAGCCTAGCTTACCCAGCATGAAAGAGACAAAGCCGGTGAGGAGCGTTTCGACTTTCCAAGAGGGGTTCCAGAGCTCCTGCACAACCACAGCGAGGCGGCACCAGCGCAGAAGCAGTCGAGCAGAACGTCTATCTCTCAGAGCAATGCAGCACGCAGCCACCACGAAGGTGTGAACAGATACGGGAGGAGGGATCCTGCAGCATGCGGATACCGGATGGAAGTCGCTGAAAGACGTGCAGAGCCGCGTGTTAACTTCGAAACGCCCATTTGGCGTGACCATCGAAATCGACGGAGGCGCGAAGGGGTAATTGGCAGGAAAGACCTGTGGCCGCAAAGCAGGAGCTGTGGCGGCGGCAGGAGATGCAGCACATGCCGCTACAAGGTGGAGTCAAAAAGGGAGAGCAGCATTCTCTTGAGCACTGGACGCCCTATACTGGTGAATACTGTTGAAACTAGGGGTTCATATGGAGGAGGCGCAGGAGGGCTGGCATACGAGTTTTCCTAGAAAGTATCCGCCGGCAAAGGGTGTGTCGGAAGGTAAATCATGTCTGAAGCGCAATCAGCGCTACACCCAGATTGAGTTCGCTGAAACAAGCAGGTTTTCAATAGTAAAAAATGCGCTCAAGTATGTCCACACACGGGGGCTGGCCATGTGCACACCGACACCCGCCAAAGGAGGAGGAAGGAAATAAGAGGACGAAGGGGCAGAGGGGGTAGACAGAAAAGGGGTCAGTGCGGTTTGTTCGCCCTACAATAGAAAGAACCACGTGAGCAGATCATCGCCATCGGGTTTCGTGACAATGTTCGGCAAATTCTCCCTCTGAAGGGCGCGCCATTCCCTCCGCAGTCTAGCCGCTGCGGAATTCGAGGTCATGCTTTTGTACCGGCTGATAGTCGCGTCTTGACGGCGTGGCTCCTGTGTAGCGGTGCAGCCGCATGGGTTGCAGCTGCAGGCGCGGCTACGCTCGCTAATTTTGTCCCACTAACGCTCTTGCTCCTGCTGCTGGCTATGGTGCATAAACTACCGCCCCCCGGCATGGCGGGAAACACACGCAGTTCACACCCTTGCCATTAGGCAGAAGCGAAAACTTCTCCGTCGCTGAATTACCCCCAAATCCAGCTGCAAGCAGAGCAGTAAACGCGGAGACAACTGGGCTGCGTAGACAGCGAGCGGGCGGACACCCTTAAAAGGCAAGCAAAACTGCGAAAACTGCAGCAGAAATTGGTCTAGATGCGCCAATTGGTGACTGCTAGATGCTTATCCACCAGAAGGAGTGCTACGCCACTTGAAGCTCCCGAGTCGCATGCACGCAGCGACCGCACGGGTAGGCGGCCAAGACAAACCTTCTACCCCCAAGAGGCTAAGTAGCGGTTTTCGACGATGACATAACTGGCATTTTGCTGCTTTTATTGTGAAATTCGGGCGTTTCTTGATGGCTGTGTCTCCATAGCGGAATGTGGCACTCTCCTGGCAGCGCTGGTGTGCCGAGCAGGTTTTCGGCATGTGAGGCTCCGCACCAGCGGCCCCAGCAAGGGCAGGCAGCTGCTCTGTGTATTTGCGAATTCCATTTCTCCTCCTCCTCCTCTCTGCTCACAGGCTGAACAGTGGATCCTAAAGCGGCTGCCTACGGGCCTGATCTCCTCGTAGAGGCAGAGGGAGCTCGTGGTGGCGCAGGTTCCCCGTCGCTCTTGCTGCTCCTGGAGCCATGGAGGCTGCGACGTCAACCAGCGCAGCAGCAGTGTCGGCAACTGCGGAATCGGTTGGACCTGCATCCGCACCAGGTGGAGCCGCAATGACCGGTATAGGAGCACTGGCACGAGTCTCCAAGTTTCAAGAGTATCCTTGCACACCCGGAAGCGTCCCTCTAGAGGCCTACGTGCTGCTGCTGCTGCTGCTCACAGGATTTGGCTTTGTAGCTGCCACTGCGCTTCTGCAATGGCACAGTACCAAGACTCCCGCTGCCGCCGTTCCTCTTGCTGCAGCAGCATCGAGACCGCGCAGCGGCCTTCTGGGAGGTGGCGCGCTACGCTCTAAGCTGCTGCTTCTGTTGTCTTTTGCTGCATTCTTGAGGGCCGTGCTGTTGTTAGTGATGCTCCTGCTTCTCGTGATGCCGCTGTTGCCCCCAAACCAGGAGTACCCCCCGCAGCAGCTGGAGCCACAGCAGCAACTTCCGACGCCAAACACTCCTAGTGCTGCGCAGGGGCAGCAGCAAACTTCAGAAGAGGATCTACTGATTGGTAAGCGGGACGAAAACCCAGCTGAAATTGGAGGAGCTCCCCTGGCCACCACACCTCCGGAGGTCACCGATTCTGCTGCGCACCTTCGTGTGCTAGCTGCAGCACCAAGAATATCGGAGTCTGTGCATGCCTCGGTGAAGACGCGTGGCGCCTCAATGGCTTTTACTACTTCCGCGCCTGACGGCACGTTTGCTGCTGCAGGGATTCGTCTGCCATACGCTTCGCCTGCAGAAGCAGCATTACCCGAAGGTGCAAGGCGCGGTCTATGGCCTTCGCCCCTGCAGTGCGCCCCCTTGGATATCTGGTGGCGCACCCTCTTTCAATTTACTCCCTCTCTCCTGTTTGTGTCCGTCTTCTTGCTGCTTGGCGCCTTTTCGTGGCAGCTGTACGCTGCAGCCACACTGCAGCGAAGCAGCAGCAAGCTGGGTCCTGCTGCGGCTCTTGTTGCTGCTGCTGCTGGCATGACCGCCTTCCTTTTAGCAGCTGCGTTCAGCTATGGACAGGCTTCGCAGCACCTCTTTCAACGGTATGAGACTGCTGCTGTAGGTGTGGTGTCACCCTTCTGCAACGCTTTCCACAGGTACTCCGGCCAGCGCGTCGCTGCGCAGGCATTTATGATTTTGTTTTGCCGAACGTCGCCGCTGAATCTTCCCACATGCTGCGCTTGCGACTGCTGTTGCAGGCTGGCATGTGTAATCGTGGGTGGGCTTTACGTGCTGACAGCTTCGCTGCTGCTCCTCTTTGGCACTTTGGTGCTGCGAGAGCTCCGCAAGCGAGACGCCTTGATGCTACAACCATTGCTGCACCTGCAGCAACACCACCTGCAACACTTGCAACATCAGGAGCTCGTGGCACCAGAAACATTTGCCGAATCGGCCATGGCGGAAGGAGATTACTTGCTGCTACCGAACTGTGGCCTCCAGCAGGAGCAGCAGCAGCACCGTGGGAGCAGAAGCGGAAGCAGCAGCAGCAACTTGACTCTGCAACTCTCGCTGGGTGCTGCTCCAGCTGCTAGTAGACGGCACGCCAGTGATAGCAACAATATCGATGAATTAGGGGAAGAAGCGCGCATGCGGCTGTTCCTGATAGCGTGCTGTTGCCCGCCGCTGTTGCTGCTGCTTGGCGTGTATATGCTGTTGGTAGGCCTATGGGGTAGACATATGTATCCCACGGTTGTGCAACAGCACCAAGAGCACTTGACATTTGATTTGATACTGCTGTTTGGCTCCGAGCTACTGCCCTCCCTGCTCGTGCTCAAGGCCTTTATGCCGTGGAGTAAAAACAGTAACAGCACCAGTACGACCCACGGCAGCATCAGCAAAAGCACATTTCAGGCGTATCCCTCGCCGTACAAAGAACCCTCAAGCGTGTGGTGTACGGTTGCCGGTGCCAGCAGCGACGGAGCGCGCGCATTCCAGCAGCTGCAACTGCAGCAGCAACCGCCGCATATGGGGGCTCTTCAAATACTTCAGCAGCAGTTGCAGCAGCAAGAGAGTGCAAGCGATTCTTCGTGCCTAAGCAGCACGTGTGAAAATCAACCGAGTTGCATGGGCGATAGTCCCAATCTGAGCAACTGCGGTCGCTACACTGGCAGCATCAGCCGATACAGCGGCAAGGATGTCAGCGGCTTATTGACGGACGGTCGCGCAACGAGAAGAAATCCCTTTGCATAAGCGAGCTGCTATACTAGCCAGGTAGCAAGTTGACTGCCTTTGGGTAGCCTTCTGACGCACAGGGACGCCTGCAAGGAGCTTTTACGCATATGGTTACATGTATGCTAGTACCAGCACACTGGCTCTGGCAGTGATTGCTTAGATGTCAGCTGGTTCACGCTTGTAGGTGTTTGCTTTTCAGCAAACGCCTGCGAAGCTTGGAGTCTTTAGACTTGGTGCTTATGCTGCAAACACATTTTGAGCATATCTTGAAGCTCAATTACTTACTGAATCTATCCAGTTTATCTACACACACCACAGCCATCCAATCTGTGTATGCTTGCTCCTCCACAAACCGGGTCTCTTCCGGCTCTGCTACTCCACAAAGACAATTCGTGTATGGAATTCTGTTTCTATACCACGATTCGCGAATTATCGTGCATGCCCCCTCGACCGTGCATGAGGGCTGCTTTCATGCATTTTTAGCCTAAGCCACTTCGTCTTACTCGTAATGCCATCATTGCAGAAAACGTGCCATGCACCCAGGGCGGGGAAGCTTGCCTAGATTTTTCCGTGTTACTCTACGCGCTCAGAAGATATCATCCAGAGTGTCGCGTGTGAACGCTCGCTGCCTTTAGAAATGGGGCAATGCCAACTAGAGCAATCAGGGTCTGACTGCACTTGTATACTTATATAAAGGGGGCTGCTGCATTTTAGCATGATTTTGGTTTGCTATGAAACGACAGCAGCGCGCTTTGGGGGGAATGATCGGGCTACTATCTAATCTATGGCTTTGTACAAGCATGTCGTCATGCTTAGACTAAGGAAAAAACTTTCACGTGAATGTGTTGATGGTGCATCTGCCTAGTCACCGCCTGTGGTACCTGTTGAAATGCCACACACCTCCTCGCGCTGTTTTGTTCCTCAGGAACAACAAAGGAAACTTGCGTTGCACCGCCCATTTTTGCTCTACAACGCAGAAGAGGGACAAATGTTGGGGCGCAATTTTAGTATCTCTGAGAAGCTATGTATGCCACCGTAGGGTGCAAGCCTTCATGTCTGATGGGAATTGGGATAAAATTTTTTCTATCACTAGTTAACCAAATCACCATTGAACAATATTGTAGCAGGCTGACCTACAATTTGATGCGCTCTACTGCACTAGAATCATTCAAACATATGTTAGGAAGGGCCTGACTAATAGATGTTTGATGGTGTACGTAATGTATTATAGAGTACTCTTAACTCGACACAACAGGACGCTAGTTTGTCTGCGTATGAGGTAGAGGCTATCTAAAAGTGCCTGTTGATGCTGCGTGAGGCTACAGGGTAGAGCTACACGACCTGCCCCGAACTGCAGTAATTTTGAAAAGTACATGCAATGGAGGACGACTGTTCTTGTGGAGGCCAGTGAGTCATCCCTGATACATTGATTTCGAATCTCAAGCGAGGTGTGTACTTACGGAGACCATATATGGAGCATTACAGTTGTTAGAACATACCCGTGTGATCATCTTTTCCCAACTGATTTATTAGCTGCTGCAGTGACATATCGAGCAACCTGTAGCAGTAGTGAGTTCTTATCACACCACCTGGCAATGTAATAATTTTGTTCTCTTCCACCGGCCAAGAAGTAGCCCGTGTCTGTGAAAGTTGCCGATAGCACGATGCCGGCTGCGGCGCGAGAAGTCGAACACCGAGTTGACTGTAACCCAGAGGCATTTTGCTGCTTAATGGCAGCTGTATGGAAGCAAAGTAAATTGTCTGCCAGCAGGGAGTAGTACAGCTCAACCTTTTACAGACGCCCCGACTGATTGGCTTATGAGGGGAGAACCCAACAAGCTCAATAGCTCTTCCACCGGCCAAGAAGTAGCCCGTGTCTGTGAAAGTTGCCGATAGCACGATGCCGGCTGCGGCGCGAGAAGTCGAACACCGAGTTGACTGTAACCCAGAGGCATTTTGCTGCTTAATGGCAGCTGTATGGAAGCAAAGTAAATTGTCTGCCAGCAGGGAGTAGTACAGCTCAACCTTTTACAGACGCCCCGACTGATTGGCTTATGAGGGGAGAACCCAAAAAGCTCAATAGCTTTGGGAAACTTGAGAAAGCTGATCCAAGAAACACTCTGGATACATGAGCACATCAAAACAATATATGACATTGCTTCGCAAAGAGCCACAAAGTAGAAGACAGCTGCCCTATACGTGGTGTATCGCGCTTTGTCCCGAAACGTCAGGTCAGGTAGTCACAGACTAGGCGATGACTCATGATGTTTGAACAATCAAGCGATGACGATTCACCAGACAATTTAGTAGAGGAGACCCTACGAGCACTGGAGCTCACGTCTTGCGTCTGTGGCTATGAAGGAAGCTCTGGTGCCTGAATCGAGCTCGTATGGGCATCACGGCTGTGTTTATCCACCAATGCCTAGAGGCACAGGTGAATAGGACAGAAAGGTCATGGGGATTCTGCTCTCCTGAGAAACCCTAAATAGCGTTTCAGAAGCGAAATCTCTTTTATTGTGAAAAATGTCGTGCAATCTGATACCGGTGGCACATGCAATGGAAATGGGGTTGAAGTACAATCTGGCTGTACAGTCGTTAGCTCAGTCCTGAGACATAGATTTGCGAAAGGGAGATATGGCACAAGGATTCGCACAACCAGGTAAATGCCGCTTGAACTGCTGGACGATTCTCACACAAAAGTGACAGCTTAGGTGGAGCAGCAAAGAGTTCCGAGAGATGGTCCTACATATGCCGTGGTGACCCAATTAAAGACAGACGTGCAGCCACAGCTACACGCAGTGGAGGGTGGTATATCCCTCCTGGTCTCATCAACAACACTCATTTACTATGTGGGTACTGGCCTACAGCCGGTAGCATAATAAGTTGAAGCCGTTGTCTTTTATGGTGGGTTCCGCAGCGCGGTAACTAAAGACAACTCGGCGTCTAAATGCCTCTGCAATCAACTTATTGGTTTAATATTTTGATGGACCTAAAGCGGCCATGCCGCGAAAATGTCCGTATATCAAGCCAGCTGTTCTAACTAATGACGAGCTGCCAACAAGCAAGCAACCTGCTGGCCTTCCAGCTCAGTGCATTCAGCTGATTCCACGGCCAGCCCCAGCGTGTGTTCAAATACTTGGGAAGCCCCCGCAGCATGAAGGGGACAATAAGCACAACGCAGCTGACGTGAAAAATCGCAAAATGCGAGAATCGACCAGCATTTGGGGGCATAAACCGGCTTTGCTTTTGAAAATGAATGGAAGGTAGGGCATGCGTTAACTGTATGCTATCGGACAGAATCATTGTGAAGCAGGTTCCCGAGGATTATACTGTCGAACTGCATAAGCGTATCTGAGCATAAGGATCTGCTACACAGTGTATTCCATAGTCCCTTTCTGGGGATCCTTTATACATCCAGACGGCACCCACAAAACGACGCTCGCACCGGCACTCCCAAAGTCAAGTACGGCTGTATCACATCCTGACTGTTAAACGCCCCGAGAAAAGTGCTTCGGCAAGTCAAAGGCTCTTATGGGCCTTTGACGCAGAGGATAGCCGGGGATACATTTGGATAAACGGCTCTGGTTACCATTGAAGGTATTCATCCAACTCATTAGCACCAGCAGCACAAAGTTTCTTCCAGCACAAGTTACCGACCACTCTCTATCAACCGCTAATATAAGCGCTCCCACACCGGTTTAATAGGAACTCTTGCCTCGTATCCCCTAGGTACTTGAGAGTCCTAAAACCCAACATTTTCATCGACCACTGCGGATGCTGCGCCTTCTGACAACTCGCCTGCCTCCGCGGCACTGTTTGCGAATAAGTTGGCGAGTTTTGAAAGTTCTTCAAAACAACCCGCGATCGTCGCATCTGCGGAACCTCCAACTTTAGACGAAATGCATCGAATATTCAAGGCATTCAATCGTGAGGCGAATATTTAGTGGTCCTAGACTCCTGGCCGCAAGGGTCTTCGCGTAGTGAACTTTCCGATACGCCTTGTAGAGCCCGCTTATTCTGGAGAATGATATCTCCCTGCAAGAAACCCTCGGCCTAACGTCGCCTATCAGGAATCCTTGATTGTTTGTTTTGCTTTGCGGAGTCGTTCGCGTGCGCTAGCCACGAGCTCTCTGAATCCCTTCTCTGCAAAAAGTTTCTGCTGACCCCGGATGGTCAGGGCAGGTAACAGCTCAAAAGCGACCTGCTCAGTCTAGATCAAGTACGCTGCCGCACAAAGGCTGGAGGATGATACTGCTGGGTTACAGGCAACCTATCACCAGTAAAAAAATCCGGAGAAGCGATTGGATTTTGTAAGCCAAAGGTCGCGCGTACGCCCAGAGAGGGCGCTCGCTGCGCTCTATCTGTCCATCTGCTTTCCGATGGTTCTCATTGGCTTAGATATGGTCACTGTGCTGGCGGGTCGTAAAGGAATTATACGCATAGCGACCCAAATTCCTCTAGAGCGCTGTGCCGAGCTAGCGAGCTTGGTCGCGCATCTCGATACTTAAAGGAAAACGTACTTGGGCTTCCTCCGGTGTCATGATACAGCTGCAGCAAGGCGATGAACTCGGCGTATTTGCTGAGTCACTCAACTGGAGTAGATGCCATCCTGATACTTCACCCCCGGCAGGGCAACGATGACGCCCATAATCAGATAAATCCAAAGCAATGTAGAACCAAGAACGCTTTATGGAGTGTCACGCTTGCAGGAAAGTCGCAGTTTGAGAGGCTTGAAACTTGGGCACGAAGATGCACACCACTGTGTCGTGGGAAGCATCGTATCCAGCCTGAAGAACCGTGAGAGCTTTCCCATTGCAGTGTGAGTTCCAACTTTGTTCGAAAGGACATGGCCATTTGCTGCGCGGAAGGCAGCATTGAGAAGCATATCTTGAATGTTCAAGTTGCTTTGAGCCGCAGCCAGCCATCCTAAATATGTTAGTGCTTCACCCTTCTGACACTCTGGATTTTTGGGAATAGTCCCCAAAATATCGATGTCAAAAGCCCGGTCGTCAAGCAAG